ACAGGGAACATATTTAGTTGCACCTATCTGATATGATGGTTTTTTAAAGGGAATTAGAAAACCCTTTCCTGCCTTGAGTACTTCAACATTATTTGCATGATTTCCTTTGTTAGCTTTTGCCACAGCAATTTTCTTTCAGCACTTCTGGATTTAAAACTCAACACATGAGCTACATCTGGTTCTTCACTATGCTTGAGAATCCAATACGTGCTACCATGTGCTTGAACAAATATGCACAGAAATGTGGTTTGACTTGCCCTGAATGTTTCAACTCAACCAATCTTGAGAAAACAAATTGCAACTATGTCTCAACTTTTCAACTTGAAAGACAATGGACAGGAAATTTTGGCTGTTTTTTTGGGTCATTACATCAGAGTTCATAGGAAGTTTTATAGGATCCCACAAGACACCCTGCAGATCGCTAAAGTCAGCAGAATTCTACTTGCTTGTGAAAGAGGATCTGTGGAAAAGTACAAGAACAAATCACTTGATGACATAGAGATTGACTTGAATGGTAAGTATGGATTTACTTTAACGTACATATATGCCAGAATATTTTCAATGAATGTGGTGATGGTATGTTCTTTTTTACCGCCCTATATTCGTGAAAGTAATTCCTGATTGGATGAAGTCATTTCGAAATTGTATTTATGCCAAAGCCACAGTTCCTGTGGTTGGCAAAATGGTTTTCAACTGCAGTTTTGAAATTTTTAAATGTTATTCTAAAAATCGTAAATCACATTTATGCCTAAACAAAAATGGATGTTCTTACATCAAAAAAAAAATTAATTTCTCATTACTATTGTATGCTTCATCAATATGTGTGTTTATTTCAGAGGTTTCAGATGATGAAGAATCAGTGCTGATTGATATCAAGACTCCTGAAGGTATGTGAGAGTTATAATACTGGAAAATCAAGAATTTATGGATGGATTGACGATTAGAAACAAGGTGGCTGAATGTCAATCATTTCAGTGTTAAAAAAATCATAATTAAGCATCAGCTTCTGGATCCATATCTCTGACATGTTTATGTTCCAACTATATTACTATAAACAAAACTATACATCTTAAGTTTGATAACTAACTGGGACTGTGCCATGCATGGCTTGTTTTTTATAAAGGGGAAATAAAATCCAACCATGAAACTATTACATTACGTTATTCTTCATGAACAGCGTCTGTGTTTGCACACACTGTCACAGATCAGTACATTTCCGAATCTTTATTACTTTCATTATACCTGGTATTTTTTCAGCACCTACTGAGAAAACAGCAGATTTAGCTGTATGTAAGATAGAACCGTATTTGATACTAGAATCCAGTTTTAGGAATCTCAAGAATGGGAATGAACTTTCTGATGATATTGTCAATTCTGCTGTCTATCCTGCCACTCAAAAAAGAGAGGTAACTTAAAGTTATATTAATTTAAAGTTATATTAATTACTTCACTGAGTCTGTGTCACATGTACATCATTGTAATTAGATAAGAAATAATTTGTGTACACTATAGCATGCTGTACAGTTATCATGTGCTAGATAATATAATTAAAAAATAGAAATGATAATATTATAAAAGCTAAATTAAATCTTGTTTAAATTGTTAATACAATAGGGGACATTATACTATTTCGGTTTTTATGAATTGCAGGATTCATTTTTCTTCTTTCTTTTTCATTTACATTTTACTTGATTCTTCCTTTTAGTTCAGCATGAGCTTGCTTATCCTAAAAGAAGGGCATCTGGCAAAAGTGATGCTTTTTTCACTCAGACTTCATCTATTGTAAAGAAAAAAAGCAGACAGATGCCTCAAGGTATGGAACTGTTTCAGTATGTAGCTGCCAAAATTTCAATGTGTATTGCACCTCATAGACTATGACTTTATGATGTCTATTTAAACAATAATGAACGACCCGCCAACCTATAATGGACGAAAGCTTACTCCATTATGAGTTGACAAAGAATTTATTATTGTTATTTTTTGAAGCATTTTCAATATCAGTGGATTTGCTGCCACTAAAAAATGGAAAATTTCGAGAAAAATCCACAGTGAACAGAACTATTTCGCAGTCACTGGCCTGTGAATCTGAACAATTTAAAATGTCTTTCTGAAAATTGTATTCACAATCTCATATGGCAAACTAAGAAAGAAACTAGTTTTTATCCATCAAATATTCTTGTAATTAAATAATTTACAGTGTGGTGTGGAGTAGCATTGTAGTGGTCGCCCGAGTGAACGGCACACAGTGACTAGTACTTTTGGTGTCCGTCACGACCTTGCACTATGCTATGCTAGACCGCCGCCTATGGACTGACGGAATTGACTGTGCGTAGGAGTGTGTACCATGGGTACATGTACGTTGTCGTATTGTTACCCAATCCAGCAAGTGTTTTCAAACCATTGAGGTGGATTTTATTGGCTACAGTCCTGTAATAGCTATTTTCAAATGCTACGAGAGGCCCATGATTTGATGAATACTTCAAGCCAAACGAATGCGTAGCGAGTGAGTGAACATGGCTGGAAAGCTAGTGGGTGTTAGCCATCCTACAAACAGTGATTTTAATCTTGCTGTATAAATAACAAGTCATTGTTAACGACACAGTCCCCGTCCAAAATTTTGTGATTTGACATATCAATTTGATGCTGATGAAGTCATTGAGATTAGATTGAAACCATTAATAGGAGATGGATTTGTAAAAAAAATATGATTTATTGCTTTTACATGAGAATTGGACAATCATATTGAATCAAATTACAAAAATAATGTTCGTGTTGATGTATCTATTGGTATACTGTTTTTGTACAAAATTTAAACAGAAATATTCATTGCATTCATAGGAAAGTAGGCATGAAAAACAAAATGGCCGCCATATTTGTTTGAATCACGAAAAAAGTATTATGTCTTCATGTAAAGTTTGAATGAAATCAGTCAATTGGTGTTTGAGATATAGCTCCAGACGTACATACATACGGATGGACGGACGGACGGACGGACGGATGGAACTAACCCAAAATGATAGTCCCCGTTTTCGGACTTCGTTCGAACGGGGACTAAAAAAAGACACCTGACAACAATCTTGTTTCACAAATAAGTGTAGTACTACTATTCATTTTTCTGTACTCACACTCTGTAAACATAGCAGCATCTGCTTGGATGAATCACCCCGGGTTAACCTTAGTTCATTGACACGATTAGGGACATGACAGCGGCATCAGTCGTGGAATCTAAAAGCATGCCTACTAGATGAAATGCTTCAACCGAGCGTGCTTTAACGTAGAGAGCTAACGAGGATGCTTGCAATTTCTCTTCTTAAATAGTTTCTCCTTTATTCGTTTTCGAAAACTACATTGTAATCAAATCCATGGTACAGGGATCAATAATGGGATACATTATTGCGAATAATCTGCTGCATTGACATCATAAAATCCACTGATATTGATAATGCTATAATATAATTAAATATAAGGTTTACTTTAAAATTGCATTACATCATTTATTACATATCCATGTTGATTTGTTTTTGTTATGTTTGACTGACTGGTGGTCATTTACAAAACCATAAAAAATCAACATAAGAAAATGTCATTTAATTTGAAATTACTCATAGGATATTACTTATATACACCTTGTTTTGATTTTGAGTGATGGCAATTTTTCAACTATTATTTCAAACAACTTCTTTTTGAAAATCTAAACAATTTTGCAGCAACAGATTTTGATTTGCGGCTGTCTATTTACCTTGTTACTTTGTAACAGTAGATTTACTTGATATTTTCTTTTTGTGTTAGTGC